GCTGAAGTTGCACGTGACCTTCAGCGGCGGCGAGATCCACGAGTACGGCACCACCTACGAGCACCTGAAGAGGCTGAGGACGAGGTACGAGCAGGGCACTGAGCTGCAGGCCAACCCGAAGTACCTCGACTACGTGGTGGAGACTCTCGGCCTGGGCAGCTCGAGCACGGCACCCGCACCTGGAGTGCCAGCGCACAAGGCGCTCATGGGGAGCATCCCCGCTCTGTCTCAGCAGCAGGCTGGCGTCTACCGCTCGTGCGTGGGGGCGCTGATGTACTGCGTTCAGGACAGAGCGGACTGCCAGTACGAGGTCAGCTTACTGGGCAGAATGTTGTCAGGCCCCACCGTCGGCGCATTCACCGCACTCAAGAGGCTCGTGAGGTACCTGCTCGGCACGAGGGATGCGGTGAACAGGCTACCGAGACCGACGGAGGGCACGAACGTGGAGCTGGTTGGCTTTGGCGACAGCGACTGGGCGGGCGACCTGCAGACGAGGAGGTCACAGTCGAGCGGCAAGATCGAGATCGACGGAGTTCCCATGCACTCGTTCAGCAGGCGCCAGGGCATCGTGGCCACCAGCTCGGGAGTTGCAGAATACTACGCGGCGACGGCGGTCGCCGAGGACATACTCTACTTCAAGTCGCTCCTGGAGTTCATGGGCTTCTCAGTGGCGGCTACTCTGCTGACGGACTCGTCAGCTGCCCGAGGTATCGCCCGACGGGAAGGAGTTGGAAAGGTTCGGAGTCTGGAGGCGCGAGTGCTCTGGCTCCAGCAGGCGATCAAGCGGAAGCTGATGGGCCTCGGGACCGTCGGCACCGACGATAACAAAGCGGACCTGGGCACGAAGATCCTCGGACACGGTCGCTTCGTCAAGCTCAGGACGCTCAACGGCATCTACACGGACATGGGCCAGGTCGCGGAGAGCGACCAGCAGTCGGAGGAGGTGGGCTTCGACGTGGGGGCGGCTGCGCGGGCGCGGCGCTCAAGGAGCGCGGCGGGCTCTCCTGGTGCCAATCGCTCGGCGGCCCTTGCAATGATCACGGCAGCGGCGACGCTCTTGCAGGGGTGCGAGGGCCAGACCGCTCACTACGACGGCTACTACTACGACACAGAGGTTTGCTCCAAGGACGGCATTGTCGCGAGCGACTGGACGAGCTACTTGCTGATAGTGGTCGTCTGGACGTTGGTCGTGGCCGCCGTCAGCGGCTATGCGGGATTCCGCTACGCCGATTTGCGGGATCCAGAATGGCTCCTGGCCCCGCCCGAGCCCGATACGACGCTGAAGGAGACGCGGCCCACGGACATGGTGGACACTACCATTCCCAGCGTGCCAGCCTCGTCGGTGATGACGCGACCGAGTCAGATGAGGCGGAGTGCGAGCACGCAGTCGCAGACAACGTGCAAGTGGAAGTGGGCAGCTCCGCGGTTTCAGCCAGTGCAGGACCACGCGCACGGTGTTTTCCTTGAAGTGCGCGTGGACAACGCCAGAGGACTTTTCTTGGACTGAACCTGATGCGAGGCTCAGGGTATAGGACCTTGAGCGGCTACGCTTCGCGCTGTGAAAATGACAGCGCGAGATTATCTGGGCCTACTCTCTCATCCACCATGCACAATACCAGTTGCTGTGTAAGATATTTTTCCCTTGGAAGCCGAGCCAATCAAGCAAGCCAGCTAGTGACGTTTGAGTTCGATGCAGGATAGTGCTTCGGTTGTGTAGTTATTTAGCTTGGGGGACGCCCCAGCCTGTCGTCCTGGGGGACGCCCCAGCCAGACAAAGTTTTCGGGGGTCGGTTGAAAGCTCGACTCGGAGTGTGCGCCGAGCTTCCAAGGGGGCGTGTTGGAGATTGTATTTGCTGGGGTCGGAGACCCCCCTCTGCAGGAGATAGCATGGCACGGCATGGAGAGAGCAAGCACCGCAGGTCCTTCGGCTCTGATGTTGAAGGGAAACAGCATCAATATCGCTACAGGGAATGTGACTAGCAGTGACGCGTCGGCGCCGGCAGCGCACAGTCAGACAGCACGATGGTGACGCAGACCATGCAAGACAGGGCGGCTCATCAAGTCCGATGGGCTTGTGGCATAGGCGACTGTCGTGTGACGACTACATTCAGGTCATTACGGGCGGGGCCGGGCGCAACATTGTTCCATTGGTTGTAGTTATCCAAAACGCACGCGGCGAGGCAACGCTGCCTCCAGCCTTCCTGGGAGCGCGCACGTGGCCAAACGGCGGGCCCAAGCTGGTGGACTGTGTCCCACCCTCCACAGCCGTCGTGCAAATCAGGTTGATGGAGTGCTGTGGGGAAGAGGGGGGGGAAGGGGGGTGAGGAGGAGGGGAGAGAGGAAAGCGAGGACGAAGAGAAGAAGGCGGCCCTGGTAGACATCTTGGGGCCAGCTTGGAGCCAGCTTTGGCCGTCCTTGGGCCATCATGGGCCAACGAGCCCGTGGTGGAGGGCATCGTGGGCCATCTTGGAGCCATGTTGGAAGTATGAAATCCCAACCAGGCTCCCGACGTCTCCGAAAAGTGACGCAAGCCGCCCCGACAGCGCCCAGACTAGCCCAGTCATCTGGAGTCTGGGCCAATTATCGAGTGCAATGCTCAACGCCAAGGATTTGCAAGGACCTGAGTGCATTCCGTTCAGTGCCTGCGGCATGGTGGCGGGCACATGTTCTGTTATGATTAGCTGCCCGCGAACTAGTAACGGTGCATCGCTGCAAGTTCGAAAGTGACTATCAGCTTCGCGAGCAAAACGGGCACCCCTTCTTCCTTCCTGTCAAAGCGTCGGCGACGGGCGTCCATGCCAGTGGGTTCACACTGTTTCGCGATGGCTGCTTTGAGGAGTTTATCGCATTGCTTGTAGGCTTTCCGCAGCGTTTGCTCCTCTGTGTGTTGGACGTCCGATTCAGCGCCCCAGGGGAATCTTGGCATTCCACTGGCTGTTGCTGTTGGTCCCGCACCGCCGGTTCCTCGCAAGCAACGCCCAACGCCTGAATTGTTCGCTGCGCCGCTTCACTTCGGCTCCATGCACGCAAACAGCGCAGGTCGGCTAGCACTAACCCAGCGAATGCCCATTAAATAGTCACGTCCGTGCGCCTGGAGATTCTGGAGTAACTGGACGTACATTGGGCATGTGGGAAATCCACGGACCTGACGAGACCCATGCCCCGCAGCGGACCAGGGATTGTATCCCATGACTCGAGCGAGCTTTTGCGAACTGCCCGTGGGCGTGGAGTCTGCCGGCTGCCCCGAAGTGGACACCCACAGTTTGCCAGTGCACACAAGAGCCGAAATCAGCAGCACAGTTAGGAACCGCGGGTGCAGCCTCCGAGGAAGCCGTTGTCTATGGGAAGCGCTCTTGACACATCGATGGTATATACCCCCAATATCCCCAAGGCGAGTGACGATTCCAATCGTGGAAGAAGGGTGCGTTAGAGAAGATATAGAAATACGGAGAGTCAATGTGCTTGTGTTGGAACACAATCTGACACGCCTGCGGTTCATTGAAGCGGGCCCCCAATTACGCCGTTGGTGAGGGTGGCTTGTTTGAGGCGTTGTGTGCGGGAGCCTGCCACGAGACTAAGGCCTCGGATTTGCCACGGTCCGATTGACATGGTCGCCGCGGCTCGGGATCACCTGGTTTGGTTACGGCAACTGCCGCAGGACGACACACCACAGGAGCTTTGAGTTATGCGTTCCCACCCAATTGATTGCATCGCGGTCGACGCACATCAGTGAGTGTACGAGGATATCTTGCAGGCAAGCCTTCCTATTTACCGAACGTTCTGTGTACATCACCCGTGCTCCCATTGGGCGTGTTCGCCTCCGTCGCAAAAGAGAGCGTTAGTTCGAGTGACAGCATTTCCACATCGAGATCTTTCAGCTTTTCCGCACCCAGCATTGGCAGTGAATGTGCTGGACCAGCAATCCTAGCGCGAAGCACCCTCGTTGCGGATCCCACCGCCTCTGGCCATCAGGGTTAGCCAATTCTCGATGTTCATCTAACGTGTCGAGCAGCTTGATCAAGGGGGGCGGCGCTTTCAGCGCATGCAAGAAGGACTTCGGTTGACGTGATGCTCAGCGGTAAGTCTGCTCAGCAGCATCTGGCAACACCCCTGCTTTCTCGAGTGCCAGTATGATCATGAATCGGTCCTCCGCGTGCTCCACCGATCGGTCAAACGCTTTGGAGGGTTCCCGGAAAAGCACGCCCGTTGTCCTTCATCAGCGCGCCGACCCGATCATCGAAGCATGGGACCAGTTGGTGGCCCATGTGCTCGCCCGCCCTCAGCACGGCTCGGCGTTGCTGGGCCAGGAAGCCTCCTCATGGAGGTGTGATCAGCCGCTGGCGAGCGCGGGGCGTCCTGGCGGCCACGGTCTCGACACCACTGCGTAACGCAAGCCAGGCGGCCTGCAGGAGGTCTGTCTCGAGCGCCAGGCCATCACTATGTACCTATTGTTTGTTCCTTTGCTTTGGTGATGGTTCTGAGTGTCCGACACGGGAGATGGAACAGGAGAAGGGGGACGGGAGGAGGCGCGTTCGTGCTCTGGTTTCGAGAGGCGCTCGCTTCTATGCAGCAGAGTGCGGAGGGCACCTTTGGCATCTCGAGGCATTCTGGGAGACCACGACAGGCCACACCACCAGAGGTGCCTTGTTGGGGCTTCGAGGGCAGAGAGAAGAGAAGGATCATGGAGAGGACGCTGGCGACGGAGAAAGGAGGGGTGTTGGAGAAGGGTGTTGGAGAAGGGAAGGAGGAGGAGAGCGAGGAGGAGGAGGAGGAGGAGGAGAATGGACGAGGAGAATCGAGGAGGGGGAATTTGAGGGAAGACGGAGGATGTATCGAGGTCGGCACGCTCTCGTGCCCCTGATTTGCCACTACCCGCTCCTCCACAGCCATTGCGGCTCGAGGCATCCTAGCCGAAGGAGCTTCAATCCCAGAACGATCCGGTGCTGAAACCCCCCATATTTCTGGATCTTCCAAATCCCTATCCGAGGACGCCCGCAGACATGTACTCCTCGACGAACGCACCCGCGCAGCAGGCGGCATACATGCCCGAGAACAATTTTGCCATGGGCGGCCTGTCGAAGGGTTTCTTCGAGCCTCGCCCAAGGAGGGGTGGGAAGGAGGGGCGATGGGGAGGCAGGACAGGAGCACGAAGTGGGTACACGAGGGGAAAGCTGGGTGGAAGGGGAAAGATGGCGATTCAGCCTCTCCTGAGGAAGAGGATGAACATCGTCCCAATCGCCATAGCCCTCTTCGTGCCGGTGGCGTTGTTCGCTGGCGTGTTCGCGGTGGCTCGGGGAGTCCCGTTCCACCCGCCAGCACAAACCTCAATCCCTCCCCCTCCCCCTCCTGCCGTCCTCGCTTGACGGATGGAGGAAAGAGGGAGGGGGGAGGATCGGGCTGGTGGTCGTAGCGAGGGTATCCTCATCAGTTGATGTCCTTCTCCCTGCACTACACGCAGTCGACGCTGACCACCATATTCGTCATCCTGTGCTTCTTGCCGGTGCTCTGGACTGGGTTCTACGCCGCCCAGCAGGTGAGGAAAAGAGCCATTGGAGTCGGCCGGGAGTCCACATGGTACATCTTCTTGTTCATATCGTTGCTCGTCGCATGGAGCTGTGGGTACATCTTCGGGAGTACCAACTACTCGTCATAAGGGAGACCGCCACTGCACGCAATGGCTTGGTTTGAATTTACGTCAGTTTCTTTGAATCCTACGTCAGCCTGCCAGTCACTGATCCTTGTTATTGGGTTATTCCAGAACCCTCTTGGAGATATTGGCCCTCTTGGGGCCGCTCTCGGGGTGTTGGGAGTCATCTTGGGTTTTCGGGGGTTTCATTTGGAGCTATATTGGGCGACTTTGGCGCCACCGTGAGGACCCAGAAGCTCATCGGATGCGAAAGTACGGAAAAGGACAATCAATCAATTGAGACGTGTGTGTTGCATTATGGCTTGTCGGGTGCACTGGAGGAGGGCATCTTGAGGGCCGCCTTGGGCCATTCCAGGACACCTTGTACATTGGGGCACTTGGCAGCCACCTCGTTGGGGGCCTGCCAGCCATTGATTACCCGTTCTTCGCCGCTCATTCGGCCTCTCCTGGAGCTCACTTGGGGCGCTCCTGGGGCCGTCTTGAGGGTCCTGAAGGCTCTTCGCATCGCTCGGACGTGTGCGTTTTTCCTTCGGCGAGGACCATCGAGGAGCATCCTTGATCATTTGGCGAAAAAAACACGCACGAAACCGACAAACAAAACGCAGGAAATGGACGTCCGAGCGATGGCGAGGTCTTGAGGGTCCTGAAGGCTGCGCCCAGAAGTTCTGGGATCACCGAGCCGACCTGCAGAGACGTGCTCGAGGAGAAGGAGGAGGAGGAGGAGGAGGAGGAGGAGCAGGAGCAGGAGGAGGAGGAGGAGGAGAAGGGAGGAGGAGGAGGGGGGACTCGGAGCTCGGGGTACGCTCTCTCCGGGGACTCCCAGGGGCCCCCACGCGAGTGCAGACTGTTACACGCAAATTGCTCTGCGCCTCCTACCCCTGTGTCTGGCACACCGTTTGGCCCGCTGGGCCGGCGAGTTGGTGATCGCCATCCCTCTGGACGCCCGAAATGGGTACTGAAAGAATGGGTACTATGCCCAACAGCGGATCTTGTTCATTTTGAACCACATTGGTTGTTGGGCAACATTGGTTGTTGGGCATAGTGCCCATTCTTTCCGTACCCATTTCGGGCGTTCAAAATCCCCTCGTTCATTTCGCGGGAAAGGTTGGAGGATTGAGAACCAAGTAATTGGTTGCACTGGCATCTCCCGACGTACACGCAGCCTTACTATAACGTCAACAATTTGATGACGTACACATCAATCGATCCGTCGGCATATAGAGGACAACAGCTCATGGATGCTGGCCGAGTCGTCTTCACGTCCGACTCAGCGTTGAACACTAATTATCTGTAAGGGCGTCGCCCCCTGCCGCTGGCCCCCTTTCTCGGAGAATGGGGCATGCAATAGCTGTGCTGTGAGGCCTGGGCGCCGTCGTGAAGCAGCGTCGGAACTCCAAACGGGGGCCACTGGAGATACGAGCGTGCCAAAATCCATCAAACACCCGAGGGAAATCGCAGATGTTGGCCCCCATGTGCCCCTCTTGGGGGTGCTTGCGTTTGGAGCGCTCCAAAGGGCCTCGTGGAAGTCTCTTGGGCCGTCGTGGGACCACCGTGGGCGCCTTGGTGCACTCTTGGGCCGTCTCGGAGGCCTCTTGTACTGTCTTGGGGGCCTTCTATGAAGGAGTGTGGCCTCGAAAGCGCGAACACTGCGTAGCTTACAAGGGTTTATGACTTCGGAGACGCGGAGAACGCGTAATATACCAGGAGTCGTGGCTTCGGGGACGCAAGCATTGCGTCATTTACAAGGACATCTTGCGTCGTAGACGCGAATCTTGCATAATTCTCCAAGAATGATGTGGTCTCGGGGACGAGAACGGAGCGTTTTTGTCTATGGTGTATGGCCTCGGGGACGCGACAATTGTACACTTTCGAAGGATTATGACCTCGGGGGCGCGAATACGGCGTGATGCACCAGGGCTCATGTCTTCGGGCGCAGGAGTCCCGTGTATTTTTGTATGCCAGGACCCCTCCGAAATTCTGAGAACCCCCCCCCGGGTGGTGGAACCAGAGCCCTTTTCGGCTTCCCCCCCCTCGCGCGGACATCAACAAGTCACAGTCGGAAGCAGCAAGCAGGACTATAACACTGGAGACTGGAAAGTGGAACTGGCGCAGGGGGCAGCAAGCCTAACCCGCGGAGCCTGGTGGCCCCACAAAGGGGACCGGCGGATTTTTCTGGCTTCAGGAATGCCGAGATGTATTGCGTTGCGCCCATCGTCACCCAGGTGATTTCAGTTGCACATGTTCTGTGCCCCTCACTCCTCGTCCGCCTCCTCTTCCTCGTCCGCTTTCCCATGTTCCTCTTCTTGTTCCTCCTCGCCCTCCTCCCTCCTCGGCCTCCCGTCCTACTCGTTCCTTTTCCCCTGTCTTACCATTCATTTCGGCCTCCCCCACCAGTCTTCTGTTGTTCCCCCGCTATGGCTCCCACCCTACCTTCTCTCCCTCTGACCCCCGACCGAGTCTTCTTGTACCCAACCAGTTAGCAGTTCGACAACCAACCCACCATCACAACATGACAACCAAATGCCTTCACATGCTCTTCCAGACGTTATCGACTCATCTTGTGTCCGAGACGTGAAAACGGCATGCCAACAGCAGAAAGCAAAGCACAAATCATTCACGGCCATCCCCTCCGACTGCAAAGATTCCTTTCCCTCCCTCCTCCAAATCTCGCGCATGTTCCAAAGTGTCGCGGCAAATACGCATGCTGTATATACACCCTCACCCGCCCAGCCCTGAAGAGACCCAGAGGAGGCTCCGCACTGGTGGTTCGCGGTGGCATTATCCCTCACTTTACCTCTGCGTTCGTCCTCCTTGCGTTGCTCACCCCCTCTGCCGCTCCTCCTTCCCCAGAGGAGGAGCAGCAGCATGAGAAGAAGGATCAGCAGCAGCAGCAGACATAGGATGAGGAGGAGGAGGAGGAGGAGGAGGAGGAGAGGAGGAGGAACATGTGGAAGAAGAGGCGGCGGAGGAAGGAGGAGAAAGAGAAAGATGGGATTGGACTCGGATTCAGCGCTGGGCTCGAGACTAGAACCGATGGGAAAGTTACATAAGCGGTTGGTAACCCGGCTGGTTTGGGGTTCCGGCCGTTGTTGGAACAACAAAAGTAAAACAATTGCGATACCATCCAGTGGGATTCATCATCCAGCATGCCAATTGCAGGCATCGCGATCTATAAACTAGAGTCAGCTGGGCAGCGGTGAAAGCTCATTAGGCGCCTTCGCGTCACTTTTGGCGGGGTCAGTGTGCAATATCTTGAACATGTGCTGCCAGTTGTTTATGTTGTGGGGAGGGGGGGGGCTTTTTCAAACATTACGACTACAGTCTTTCACAAGGCTTTGGGCGCGCTGGCCTTGGCATATACAACCACGTGCGCTGCATATGAATATCAAGCTACAGGAGCCGTGGCAAGCTATATCCTGTGCAAACGTGGGTGTGAGACGAAAGCATTGAAGACGGCATTATGGCCAGTGCAGGCTTCCGTAACAGGAGGCACCGCAACGTAGCTACGCTTGCAGCACACTTCACAGCTCTAGAAGTTTGGCTTGAGAAACTTGCGTGGGTGGGGCCAGTCCCGAAGCCATGTCTGGGCGGGGAGCTTGGTTCACAGAATTGGCGGGCACAAGTATGCCATCGGAGGACAAGCTATACGGGCGCGGCGGCGGGGGAGGTGGGGGAGCCGGTGGGGCGGAGGAGGAAGAACCACCCCCGCCAGCCGAACAGAGCCCATTTTCTGGAGCCCATTTTCTGGCGCCGTGCGAGTCGCAGCTGGTCCATCCTGGTCCAAGGCTTCGTTGCGGTGGCTGCGCTCTGCCCTGCCCCCCCCCAACGCGGGCCCGCTCTCCTGGGTCTGGAGCGGCACCTGTTCCGACCACGGGGCTCGTGCGGGGCTGGGAAGACCTCGAAAGCCTTAGCGGCGCCTGCTCCTCCACCTCGCAGTTCGTTCGATGGTTGGGGATACGAATTTGCACCTAGCCTTGCCGTTCCGTCGGCTTCGTCGCTGCCCACGGCACTGAGCCTTTCGGCTGAGCCCTCCGGGAGCGACGAAGGAGGCACCACCAGCAGAACGTCCAAGTATGCGCATCGTACCGCTTGCATAAAACGGTTGCCAAGAGAGGAGTTTGTCTCGAGGCTGGGAGTGCAAGCCTCGCAGGCCTAGAGATTGACACCAACACCAATATCGGCGGTTTGCCTCCACCGAGGGAAGAAAGATCCCGATCTCGGTGATGGTGGTAAGATTCTGGCTTCCAAGGTGGCCGAACTATTACCACCAACACCGAAAATCTAGGATCACCTTCCCCCTATGGAGGCAACCAGGCCTTCGAAAGCCCACCGTCCCTTTGTAGTCTGCTCGAACATCGGTTACTAGCGGCGCATCTGTTACCGCTGCCACCCCTGCGACATGCTCAGCTTCTGGGCTGCTCGGGGGCAGAAGGTTACCTACTCTACCACTCAGTCTGGCGATGACCTCACCCCGATCAGATAGCCCATCGGGCCCCCAACCCGCTCGGAAGAAATTGTCCATCGTGAAAAAATCGAACCATCAGAGAAGATTACTTCCTTCAGCGCCACTTCTGGAGGAGACCCGTCTGCAGACCACCATTCGTATTCTTCATGTCCGATTCCCTCAGGGGGCTGTCTCGAAGGGAGGGCATGTCTGAAATCCCAACAAGAGATGAGATATGCCATCTGGTAGAGCGAGGATATCCTGATGTTCAGTTGAGAGGAACTCGTCACGCACATGCTGGTTAAGGGAGCGCGTGAATAGCCGATGGTGAAGACCTTCCCGCACGCATCCAAAGAGACGTGCTGCACCTGGCTCATATCCATAAGTCGATGTTTCGTCCACGTGCCATGGCAAGGGAACGCTCTCAGCAAATTCCTGTGTCTAGCTGAGGCCTCCGCTGACGCCAACAGAGGTCGGATGATTGACGGATCGAGCTGGTCAGATCTTTCGATTTTTTGTTGGCGGCCAATGTGTTCGCTCGTCGAATCCAGGCCGCGCGCATCAGCTCGTGGATCGTCTTAGGAGCGGCATCTGTCAGAGCGCATCAGACCAAGATCGGCTTCTGTTTTGAACGGTGAGACGAAATTTCAATCCGTTCGCGTCAGGTTCAAGATTGCCGCGCCTGCTGCCCCCCCCTTCAGCTGGAGGTTGACGAAGGATTACTCGAAATAAACGCCCCAGCTCTGAGAGAGGGTCTATCGATTCTAACCTCCCCTTGCTCACCGCCTCCCACGCAATCGAGGCCCACTGCGTAGATGGGCCGAGCCCCTGTTTCCAGAGGGAGGCACCCAAGACTGCGATAGAGATGCTGGGTGATCGACTTTTGCAGGTGCTGCCAACGAGGGGAATGCACTGCGCTGTGAGAAGTGAGCCCCACGACGTCTGCAACGTAGCAGCCCGAAGCTTGGAGACCTGGCGCGTAGAGCTTCTTCAAAGGGGTCCCAGTGCTCGTCGGAACTCTCAATCTGGATCCGCGCTCCTTGAGCTTCGAAGAGCGCCCCGCTCGAACCTGAGCTTTCTTGGCTCTCTTGGCCCCGCAGAAATAATCAACCCGTAGATTGGAAGTTGATGGGGGGGCTTCGCCGGCGCATGTCTCAGAATTGGTTTCAACCTTGCCGTCGGCTTGGGGCAAAAAGACACAATGACAGACTTATGCTGGGCGACTTGGCACTCTGACTCGTGCTGGGCCATGCTGTACAATTCTGCCACAGCTGGCGCTGGACGATTGACCGCATTATGCTGGCTGCTGCTGGCGTTGTCTCCGTCAAGGTCGTCGATAAACAGTGTCGCAGCAACGATCGGATGCAGCTGCTGCCGAATTCTGAGCGGAAGCCGGGAATGCACCTGCACAATAAAAGTAGCAAATGGGCAATTTGCTGCAAACCCGAAGCGTGGATATTGGACTTCTACTGCAGGCCCCGAGAAGCCCAAACACCTCATGGACCCTTACTGATTGAGCACCACCGCTAGTACTGCGAAGGAGAACTGTGAACTTTTGGCCCGGGATCAAGCAAGTTCTCCGTAGACGCGCCCGCAGTATTTGTTGAGGTCCCATAAGAAAGAACTCGAGAACGAGGTCTTTGACACGGCCGCAGATTCCGCCGACAATGATTGCAAGGAACTTATTTCTGGAATAGATCTGCCGGACTGGCGGGCCATGAGGGGGTCCATTTGCCACGCCTCCCATTTATTAGAGACAGGTTGCCGTAATCTAGACCAGATTCGAACAGGATTGGAAAGGCAACCGATGCCTCGAAAGCGCGGGCCGCAATCATCAGGCCTGCGTTTGGGGATAAGGGTGGTGCATGAGGCAATCGCCACACCTGGCAGCTTACCCACGAAATTACTTGAAGAAGTTCGATTACACACAACATATGATATGGCCTTCATAGCCCGCAGCGCCGCGGGTAGAAACCATCCAGAACCTGACTGGTCTCGTGGGAAAACATCCTGGTGTCCCCGGTGAACGGCTCCACCGATGTTTTTGGGAGTTGCTCTGCATTTGCTGGGTCGGCCTCAAGAAGGGGTGGGCTGGGATAGTCGCGGACTCCCAGATGCCTTCTACGCGCTCGGCTTCCATTTCATGCAGGCCCGAGGGCGTTGCCGAGGGAAGGAGGGCCGGGGGTGGCGAGCGCTTCCAGAAGTCTGTTGGTCTGGTCCACCTGCGCGCCCGCCCCGAAGGCATGCGCACTAGGTTTTCTCGCGCCCATCCCTTCCAAGCTCCCGCCGACCCCTTCCTCCGAACCTCTTTCTCCACATGGGGAATAAGCTCGATGACAGCATAATGCTTGTTGAAGATTTCCTCGGGTACTGCAGCGTTACCTTGCCCTGCCCTGGTGTCTGTGGTCCAGGCGGCAAGAAGAGCCTGGGCGTCACTATGCGCTGCAATCCGGGTCTGGACATATCGGAATGTCGCCGGGGCTTATGAGAAGTCGGAGATCACAGGGTCGACAAAGTCCCCGGGTACTTCAGGCCAAGCGTAAAGGTGTTCCAGAAGATGTTGCAACATATTCTGGAACGAAATCACTTGGCTTCAGTGGCGGAGTCCAAGAGTTCCAAGTTTTCTTGCGCACCGCCTGCAACGGGACGAGCTTTACTGTAGGATATTCCCCCCAAGGAGACTTAGGTCTTGGGGTATCCGTCTTCAGACACACGGCGCGTTCGAAATCCTTTGCAAAGAGATCAACGGCGTCCAACAATTCATGGCTCTCCGATTGG